CTTTGTGCACAAACTCCTCCCTTATAACATAACCCACACCTTTGAAACTTTGCAGGCGTCCACAGCATCCATGTGGCTAGGACCTAACTTAAAAAAATCCCCGCAAACTGCTTTCCCCGTTTTTTCCAAAATGCTTTGTTTTGTCTACACAGAATCTTGGGAAAGTCCGTCTTCTAAGACGCTATTGTAAACAAGTGAGGTTTACGTTCACTATCCGTGCGCACTGTTTCCACACCTTTGAAATTATGGAGTGTACAATCACGAAATGGGAATAGAGAATCAATCTATACATCTATTGTATATTTGACAACTTGGAAACACATGGGTCACTTTTCTCTCTAGATTTATTGTTCCATTCCAGTAGAATGTAAATATAGTAGGTCAATGACTTTCAGTTGATTTTAATGCACCGATCATTCCTTTCATCGAAAGGGGGCCTAACTAGTGTTATACATTGGCCAATCTTTCTGTCATATGTGGAAGGGAGAAAATATCTTGCCATGTTATATACTGGACAATCTTTCTGTCATAAATAATATGTGAGGCAGCGTGGTGGAATCAGGCTCTCGTCAATTTTTGGGCAGATAGAGTTACTGGTATCAGCTTAAAGCTTGTTCACTTGTCTTTACTAGGATGAAAAAAAATATCCGTTTATCTTAAGTACAAGTCGAGATATTTTAGAATGAAGGAGGTGGGGGTCACCTTTTTTCAGAGGTAAAATTAGTGAGAAAATGGCCGCTAAAAAGTAGTTATTTCCTTAGTTTAAGAGTCCGTGGTAAATGAAAAGTTACATATTTTGTGCCTTTAATCAACGTTTTTCATAAAAATCCACACAGAATTGAGTTCTTTAATGGGCATGAAAGGAGTTGAGCCCAAAAACAAAAATTTGGTAAAAATTCACAAACCTGCGGAAAAATGCAAGTTTCTTCACTTTGATTATTTTGACGAGAGCCTGATTCCAACACGCTGCCTCACAATGTTATTCTATAGCAACACCTTTAATCTTCGGCACTTAAATGGCGGACAATTTGTGTTATAATTGCCCCGAAACTCTTTCAAAAACTAGACGCAAGTGAAAAAAAAAGCCTGACGTGATGTTCTCCAGCCGGCTTAAATGATGGATAATTTGTGTTATAATTGCGCTCATCTGACCTTATGCAGTTGCGAGCGCCGTAAAACCTCTACAAAAATTTAAAAAAAACTGCGTTATAATTATCGTGAAACTCTTTCAAAAACTAGACGTAACTGAGAAAAAACCATGACGTGATGTTCTTTATGTTAGTTTTAATAGAGGTTTTACGGCTCTCGCAACTGCATAAAGTCATATGAGCACCAGAAGATTAGAGGAGTTACAAGAGAGTAACAAACATAAAAAAGAAGGAGGGGGACGATTGATGTTTGATAGGAAAGAAGAAACAGACCACACCAGAGCACCCGCCAACCACCCACAGGGGGAGGGGGGGGGGAGATAAGGACGATAGATGTTTGATAGGAAAGAAGAAGCAAACGACACCAGAGTACCCGCCAACAACCCACCGAGAGATGTTTGACAGGAAAGAAGAAGCAAACCACACCAGAGCACCCTCCAACCACCCACCGATAGATGTTTGATAGGAAAGAAGAAGAAGCAGATCACACCAGAGCACCCGCCAACCTGACCTGATGTTCTCCAAAAGTCATCGTTCCCAAACACAGGTTGGACACCCGGATACCAGAGCGACCCAGGAAAGGGTACAGGACTTTCTTCTCCTCGGGTATAGCAGACATCTTGCGTTGAGAGGTAGGTGGCAGCTTATCTTATCTCTGGCTCACAGTCACAGACAGGTGGGTGATAAAAAGTATCTGTGGAAGAGACGCACATGAAATTTTTAGTAACCTCTCTCTGTCTGTCTGTCTGTCTGTCTCTCTCTCTTTCGCTCTCTCTCTGTCTGTTTGTCTGTTTGTCTGTCTGTCTGTCTGTCTGTCTGTCTGTTTGTCTGTCTGTCTGTCTGTCTGTC